TGATAGGAACAACCACGGTAGAAACTGGAACGCAGTAAAGGAGACTTGATTCCGAACAAATCGTAACGGTATCGGCCAAGAAACCGCTAACAGCGGCAACAGAAACAGGAAACATTTCTCAAGGTTGAAAGTGAATCGAAAGGTTCTCCCTTTTTCAAGCGAACTCCTGATGGAATTTGAGGCAAGTGTGAACTTTTGTGGAATAACAAACGCTGAAAATACTTCCTAACAAAGCACTGCATAGAATTTCATCAAATATTTTGCTTATTGCCAAATGCCTCTAAATATGCAACTGGCCAGATTAACTTCCCGGAAGATTCTCAAGCTGCCGTGGCGTGGATTCCCTGATCCCTGCCCGTCCAAGGCAGTTGAAGAAGTTGTCCACGAAAAAATCATGGTTCTATCTCACCTATAAATCTCTGGCTTGAGACCCTTCATTACTGATAAATTGTGTCTCAGCAGGATAATGATGCCCCCAAAAAACAACAAACAATCAACAACAATCACAGCACATCCTAGTGCAAAACTATTTATATAAATTAACAACGACCAATTGCTTACTTTTACAATATCGAGTCTTAATGCCCCCGATGTCTTACTAGTAAAAGCGGTCAGGTACCGCCTGCTGGTTTCCTGCCTACAAACTTCACATACGTCTAAAACAACAAATAAATAAAGAAATGCGAACAATACATCAGGAATCTAGTTTCGGCAGAGTAAACCGATATCGAGTGCTAAAGTGGACATGAGAATGAGGAAAACGTGAACCACGTACAACCGATATTGAGTTCTTTAAAGACAATGAGAACTGTTACAGTCACAATACTGTTATAGTAAAACCTTTACCTTATTCGAAACCTACCACAAAACACAATGAGGGTGCCATAATGAAGGTAGCAGAGATTTCAATCACTTTAAATATCACAACATTAAACACCGGACCACCAACTACAATTCTTTCTTCGATACTCCATTTGCCGGAACACTGGTTTCTTGGCCAGCCTTTGGTTTTCTTGGCAACGTTTGCTTCAAGATATAATGAACAATCGGCCAAATGATAAAGAAGATCACGAAACCAACGAAGTATAGCGACTTGATTGGCTGAAAACAAATATTTTGAACACGGATCTAATAGAGTCCACAAAATCACACGGCTCATTGGTTGAATAGTGGCAATCTTCCCTTGTGAATAAGTCAGCTGGGCCGTTAGCGCACAAGTTGTGTTGATTCTAGGGCTCAGAATGCGTTGGTGCACGCCCACCATTGCGCTGATGTCTGCGTCTCGCTCATCCCGTGTGCCCTCTTGCTTCGAGTCCACTACATCGCCTCTAAGGCCAAAGCTTCTGTGTGTCGAGCGTTTTACTTCGTGGAATCGTCCACCGCCAGAAAAGAATGCAAAAGGGCATTCCGGAAAAGCGCCCCGTCTCAAACGATCTCACAAGGAAAGCGCTGTGTGACGCATGATTAAAGGCAGGTATCGGAATCGAGCTGGGCTAAATTTGCGCTCGAGGGTGAAAGCAGATGCGTAATGGAACACCAAAAAACGGGAAGGAACCGTCAACACGGCAAAAAATCATTTGCCCCTTCCCCTCTCCAACAGCAGCAAAGTAAGCCGGCTTGGGAGGAGGGCGTGTCCGCACGAGTTTTTCAGACATGACAGTCCTTTCCGGCTCCGTGCCAGCAGCTGAAACGGAAAAACGCACCCCACCCAGCTCATTTCACGCCCTGTGCCAGCCAAGCACCACCTTCCGCTGTAGGCGGTCAAAGCCTATGGTAGGCGGTAGAGCCGTTAATATTAGGCCAGGGACGTTATTATGAAGCGGCTTCACGTGAAGAACGTGGTTTAGATGCGGATCCAACTACAGTCTTGATCGAGAGGACTCCTTTGATCGCCTAATCCAGACGTGTTTGAGCACCATCTATACCAACTGGACCTTCAAGAACTTGTCCCCATACTGACGTTTGGAAAATGCGAAATTTCCACCAAAAAGAGTTTCGTGAAATAAAAGCAAAAGCAACGGGCTCATCCAAGTTCACCTGAGCAAATTACTATGTAGGACAAGGATTTGTATGGAAAATTTACACTAAAACATTAACATGGTTTCTTCATACAGAACATGCCTTTCTTCACAGCCTACCCTTTACCCACTGATACTATTTCACATAATTTCCAATATTGTAAATGATTCAGAATTCAGTACAAATGAACTCACCCCTATCCAATATTTCGTCTTCACAAGTCCGAAGCATAGGAAACCGAATCCCATGCTGTACATAACGGTTAGTCGACCGAAAAGCCAGACGAACGGCCTAACGGCCGGCTTTGCATTGAACTCAGCCCATCCAGGAGTACGATCAATCAGGGCATACAGCTGCAAAAAAAAGGTTTACAATCCCTGCTCCATAAGTACTGGTAGTTCATTAGCTCAAAAACCATCCCTGCCTCATAGACCTCAGACTTTCCCACGAGAGTAGTAATAGAAAATTAATCTGATTCAGCGTTCTCGTATTGCACGGAAAGCCAGCAGTGAATAAACAGCAAATTGTCACCCTCCCATCAGCTTACTTGTTCTTGAGCCATCACACATCCGAATTCAAAGAAGAACAAAAGGAAGTAGCCAAGGTGATATCCATGCCAAATCGCCAGGTAGCCCAATGTGACAAGATGAGCGCCAGGTTTGCTGTTGAGCCATCGCAGTCGACGGAATATGTGGCTAAATTAACATTTTTACGAGGAAATTTATATTCCTGATAAAAATTATCTATAAAGAAATCATTGGAAGGTTACAGTAGAGAAATCTAAAACGATCTTTCAGAAGGCTCAGTAGAAATCACATGTGGTACAAGTAAACCACTCACATTCAATAGACCGATAACCACCAGAAACCAGAAAACCAAAAACGGATTTGATTTTCAAAATTCATAAATATAACATTCATTCAAGGGTTAAGGTACCTTAAAAGTGATTCAGCACTTCAGTGAGTGGCGGGGTTGTGGATCAGCAAATCAATGTTTTTCACCCTGTCAAACAAGTATGGTGCCAATTTATCAACCCCGGAGGACGAGATTTGATCCAGGATTTCACCCCGGCGTGCACGGGTGTCGTGGTGTTACCTGCTACTAGATCACTTCTACCCGTCTGCTGTAGTGCACAGTAAACAAACAAACATAAATATTCTCGAGGTTGACGCGCAGAAATGTGGAGATGGTGCTTGGATACGGTATCATCATTTAACCGCAGCTGGCCAGAGGGGTAAAAAAGGAAGCGAAAGAGCTCAC